CGGGCGGCCGGGGGTGGGCGGGCCCGGGGCTCGCCAGTGCGAGCCCCCACGCGGCCCCCCAAGTGCTGGCTGCAGCACAGCACCCCCGCCCAGGGTGTCCGACGCCGTCTCGGCCACTCGCGCAAAGGCGGGCTGGGGCTTTAGAGGACTTTAGGGGGACTGAGCTCTTAAAACAGCCAGTGAACTTGGCCGAGGGCACTCTAGCACCAGTCAGTGTGGGCGCCTCTGGACTCCGCTGTAGGCAGTGGGCGCGACCGAGCGAGTCAGAGGCTGTAGTAGTCCGGGGACCCATTCCTTTCCTTAATATGCGGACCTGGAACTCTGGTGCAGAGTGACCCGCACTTGGGGGTTTCCCGTGACCGCACCACAAAAGGCGGTATTTACGTTGACATGAGTTAGTTGGACGTGGTGAATGTTAAGGACTTCTGGAACGTGTTTATTTTGTGGAGACCTGTCTATTTGGACGATATTTGGGCGTAGCTCCTAAGGCATAAAGTAATGCTGGAAAAGTAAAGTCACTTTTTTTTTTAACTTTGAAAATTGTACCAAGACCCTAAGAGCAATACTATAAAATAAAACACTGACTATACTTAAAAACATAAACAAAACCAAAAAAAACACCCTCAGTTGATATCACTTTAAACCAGACTATCAAATTGGATGAGTGGCCAGACAGAACAGACTTACCTGGAGACGGTTTTCATCGTTTCCTAGCGAACTAACCAACTGAGGAACTAACTATCTTAGTCCAGAGTAGTTATTTGAAAAAGCATTTTGAACCTCTAAAGGTATGGAACAGTTTACTACAGCTTTTAGGAGGATGTGTTACCACTGGTAATTGATAACCATTTTCTTTGACGTTGATATAAAAAAGTAATCATTTAAAGAAGTGTCGCCAAATCTTGGGTGTGTTAACATTTTAAAAAAATCTAGTATCACGATGATGCATTTTTATAATGGACAAATATAATTAAGATTTCAATTGTATGACAATTAGAAGTCATTGTGATTCAAAAGGACTGAGGCATTCATAAATTGTGAATGAAGATGAAAACAATGATAAGGCCCTGGAGACGGTTTTCATCGTTTCCTAGCGAACTAACCAACTGAGGAACTAACTATCTTAGTCCAGAGTAGTTATTTGAAAAAAGCATTTTGAACCTCTAAAGGTATGGAACAGTTTACTACAGCTTTTAGGAGGATGTGTTACCACTGGTAATTGATAACCATTTTCTTTGACGTTGATATAAAAAAGTAATCATTTAAAGAAGTGTCGCCAAATCTTGGGTGTGTTAACATTTTAAAAAAATCTAGTATCACGATGATGCATTTTTATAATGGACAAATATAATTAAGATTTCAATTGTATGACAATTAGAAGTCATTGTGATTCAAAAGGACTGAGGCATTCATAAATTGTGAATGAAGATGAAAACAATGATAAGGCTTATTCAGTGATTGGATACAGTCCTGTAGCTTTTTGGCTGACACATTTTTTATTGTTTATATTTTGTTTGGCATCTGAGTATGATTAACTTAGATATGGCTATTTTCAGCAAGTAAATGTGCACTTTAATTTAACAAAACTGAAAAAATGAATTGCTGAGCTATTTGTATTTTTAAAGGAATGAATGATAATGGCCAATAAATATGATGAAAGTGCTTCAGGTAGAAAGAATTGCCATTAGTTGTAAAAGTTACATTTCATGTTACCCATCAGCCATTTTTTTTTCCTCTTTCTGCGAATCCATGTCCATTTGGTATTATTTTTACTGGAATCAAACAGAACAAATCGAAGTAAGCTTTTCACTTACAAAATACTCTACCACTTCTTCCCACCTGTAAAGAACGGATAATTGTACATTTTTCTATATTTATATTTTAGCATTAGCTTTTCAGAAGCACTGCTTGTGATTACATTGCATTTTTAGTTTCCTCTAGATAAGTATTGGAAAGTGACTGGTTTTATTTTAATTTATATAAAAAATGATATTGTAGCATCATGGCACATGGAATGTTAGGAGTATACACAGTATTATTTACGTATCACATTAGTATTCAAAGATACATACTTACTAACACTAATTCATGATGACTAATATTTTCTACTATTTTAAACGTATAAATCTAGGCTGATGTATTAAAACCATTGTGGAGATTTAAGGCCTATACCAGATAAGGAATTTTAGCTATAGAATTCTCACTTAACTAATCTTTATTTGACTTTATAGGTAATGTAAGGTGTTGCAAAAGTGAGGACACTTTAACAGTGTTACTTTTGAAACAGATCAGTAGTGTAGTTTTGTATTGCAAGAGCCTAGTAGATGTAGCAAAACATGTTTTAGCACAGGAATATTTGAAATAGAGTATCATTCTTAATTCCTTGCAAACTTTAAAAAGTATCTCAATTGTTGCAATAAGGTATTTAGGCTTTAGAAAGAATCTGAATTTAAAAGAAGTTCCTTTTCAGTTGATATTTAGCAAAATGGTATGCTCCAGTATCAGAACATCAATATAAATTAGTATTTATACATCAGTATAAACCAGATGTAAAAGGAAAATTAAGCACTAGCATATATGATTTAATATTTACTTTTTGTAAAAATAATATAAGCTCTTACTAATATACAATAACTTTCAATTGGCATGATGGAATTCAATATTTTTTTCTTTCGTTGTCTTTCAAGTTCCTTAGGTACATTTTTTCCCCTTAGTTTATTGTTATATAGCAATGCTCCAGGAACATTTAGTGTTTACCCTTCTGCTTCTGTATTGGTCTAATTTTCCATCCCTTTCATGGAAACCATTGTTTCTGAGAAGAAAAATAAATATGCCTAGTGAAATTAAGACTGTTTACTTTTATATCTGAAATTTGTAACTTAGTTATTTATTTTATCAATTTAGTTCAACTAAAGGAAGCTCTAAAATAGAAAGTATTACTGAACGTCAGTGCATTTTAATAAAAATTCTGAAAGAGCGAGGTTGCATATTATTTTAGTATAGACCCGTTAGATCTTAAATCACTGATATGTTTTTTTAAAAAATGATTTTCGTAATTGTTTAATGTTATTATGATAATCCATTAGTTAGCACATTTGAATAACTTAATCACTTTTTTGGGGGGGTGAGTACAGTTACTATGTTTTATATTCATGTCACTCTCAATCATTAAACATTTTGCTACTCAGCATTAGAAAACAGTCACACTTGGGAAATGACATTTATGCATGTTAATGTACAAATGTATGCGAGTTATAGCAAACCTCCGCTTGTAATCATTTTTTGGAGATATGTCCCCTTGTCAGATAAGTGATTCACTTAAAAGGAATCCACATAATAGTGAAGCCCTGAAAGATATTAATAAAGCCAATTGGCAGCCTGAGAAACTTTGCTACTTCTATTTATCAATTTTTAAAAATACATGTTTTAAAATAGTGTTTGATAGCATTGACAGTGAACTCAAGGCAACCTTTCAGAGAAGTGTTTGTGTACATTTGTTAAGAACTTCCAAATTCAGCCTTCAAAATTTGCATTCTGGTTGTTTAATTTATTAAAATATTGAGACTTAGTACATGATAGATGATGTTTGTGATCAAATATTGAAACTCAAACAAATTAATCAAAACTGTTTTTGATGTCTTTGTAAGAAGACAAAATGTTACTGAACATAGTACTTATAAGGACGTAAGTACTTAAGTGTTAGAGCATTGCTTAATATTTGTTAAAATAATACTGCATTTTATAAAGCAGGGCAAGGGCAAAATGAGTGAGACAAAGCTCCCTCCTCCCCTGTGTACTCTTCACATTCTCAAGTTTTTAGTTTATGAGTGCACACATGCACGTTTTTTAGTTATATCAATAAACTATAGTGAAAGTCAGCTTATAGGAAGTGAGTCCCCAAAGCCCGGTTAAGTCCACATTTCCTTGAACAGGCTTTTCTTTTGCATATATTTCTAAGGGGGATAAACAAAGTTTTTGTAGTTACAGTGAAAGCTAAAAGCATGGCATCAGAAAGTGTATGGAGATAGGGAGGTCTTATCATGGGCTGTGGTTGCTGTGAGCAGGGCTGCCTTCCCACACAAAGAACAGATTGTGGTTTAACTCTTTCCATGGCCTAGTTTAATGTGTTCGCATAGTAACCGAATTGTTCAAATCTCTGCTGGAAACTACTGATCGGTTTAATGATTTCCTCTATGGCATTTGGTTATGCCTCATGCTGTGATGTAATCATCTGCATTCAGTATTATTATAAAATTTTGATTCAGACTTATTCTGCTGTAGGAATGTTTTATAGCAATATGTTAGAACACTTGAGAACTACATTATTGATTGGATGGGACACATACCTCTTCCATATCTGAACTGCAAACTGCTAATGTGTTGCAGTATTTAGCATTAAAACTTTGAATTTCATCTTGAAAAAAGCGTTCATAGCTATATGGAGTTTTTCGGACTCCTTTGTTAGAGTGTCACTAGTCGTACTTTCATCATTTTTACCTAATGGAATTAGTCAGTCTGCTGAGTACATAGGATGTGTTCTACACAGTCCAGGGTGACTAATACGAGGATGTAAATTCTACCTTGGAATACAATCAGTTAAAAGGAATCCACATAATAGTGAAGCCCAAAGTTACTTTGTGGTTGGGATGACAATATAGTCACTGTGATCGGAAAAGTAGTTGCAGTGGAAGTTCTCATTCACTTCAGCTCTTGGCTTCTTGCATGCATCCGGTGTGCACGCACAGGACTTTCAGCTCTCTCTCTGAACAGGGATAGGCCCAAGTGTGTAAGACACGCTTTTACCTAAGTGAAGAGGTTATAAAACACTGACTGTATTGGAAAGTAACTAGAAATATCTACAGGTAGAGGTTATCCTCACTTCCCCCGCCCTTTAAAAAGCTTGAAACAGGCTGGAAAAATGCAGGTGCCTAAAGGTAAATCACTTCCTTGGGAAGACGAGTACTATATATCTGTGCACATGTGGCTTCGTAAGCACATGCATATGTGCACCCACAGTCCTGTCTGAAAATTCATATACGTGGCAAATGAATTGTATAGATTCCACAAAAGCAGGAACTGACCAACAGTGCACTCCTGGTGTCACCCTGCCACAGCATGCAGAGACACAAAGAATGTAAAGTTGGTGCCAAGTTGCCATTTTTCATTGTTCACCTCAGATTGATTTTTAAGGGGTTTAGAATAATTACCATGCTCATGTGACCGGGTAACAAATTAAGTGACTTTGTGGAGCTTCGTATTCTCTAGCAAAGTTGCAGAAAGTACATTCATGTAATTTTTGCTTTCAACTTTAAAAAGTTCTGTTTAAAAATGCAAGAGTGTGTCTGTGAGAGCAGAGAGAGAGAGAGAGAGAGAGAGTGTGTGTGTGTGTGTGTGTGTGTGTGTGTGTGTGTATTGGGAGTTAGTGTTGGTGGTGCAGGGAGAGAATGCACTGCTCAAAGTATGGAAACCTTCTGTTCAGGACACTGATACGACAAGCTGTGTCCTTTGCCCACTTTCCCTCACTGTATACCGGTTTCTCTAGTTACCACTCTTGGAATGGTGCTGTTTCAGTGTTGGAATGTTGGACGTTTGATAAGAAAATGGATCAAGTTTAATGGCGCATGCTCTTTGTGCCACCAGCAGCCTCTTGCTGAGAGCATGCTCCAAAAGCGGGAACTGTGTGGCATTACACTGAGCATCTATATGCTTTGTGTTTCTGTGCCACAGAGAAGAGAAATGAACTGTGGCATTGCTCCTGCCTTCTGAACAGCTCTGCTCCGATTTAAAAAAAAAAAAAATCTCACTGTGTTCTTTGTAAAATGGTACTGCATAGTGTTAGTTGGTCAATTCAATTCTAAATATTAAATTAGGTGCTAAACATCTTGGTTGCATATGTTTTGAAGAATGTAGAATGTATGGGATTGGGTGGGAGTGAGGGGGATGGGGCTAGAATGGAAGTCTAAAATATAAACCTGACTTTCTTTACAGGAGGGGAAATGAATCTGTAAATTTTGGTGGAAAGGGGGGCAGCTCGGCATACTTAGTTTTTAAAATTGTCCTGCTATTTTGATCATTTTAAATAAGAAAAGAATGTTATTTTCATCTTTAAGTTTTGTACTGCGTTGGGAATGGGTCGTGGTCTTGTTTTTTTAAGCATTTTAAATTAAACTGACTATACACATCTTCTTTCCCCCTTCATCTTCCACAGGATGAATTTCACCCATTCATCGAGGCACTTCTTCCACATGTCCGTGCAATCGCCTATACTTGGTTCAACCTGCAGGCTCGAAAACGCAAGTACTTTAAAAAGCATGAGAAGCGAATGTCAAAGGATGAAGAAAGAGCAGTCAAAGATGAGCTTCTCAGTGAAAAGCCTGAAATCAAACAGAAGTGGGCATCCAGGCTCCTGGCCAAGCTGCGTAAAGATATCCGCCAGGAGTACCGAGAGGACTTTGTGCTCACCGTGACTGGCAAGAAGCACCCGTGCTGTGTCTTATCCAATCCTGACCAGAAGGGTAAGATTAGGAGAATCGACTGCCTGCGACAGGCAGACAAAGTCTGGCGTCTGGATCTAGTCATGGTGATCCTGTTCAAAGGCATCCCCTTGGAAAGTACCGATGGAGAGCGGCTCATGAAATCCCCACATTGCACAAACCCAGCACTTTGTGTCCAGCCACATCATATCACAGTATCAGTTAAGGAGCTTGATTTGTTTTTGGCATACTACGTGCAGGAGCAAGGTAGGAGCAGATTGTTCTTTCTTCTAGCACGGCAAACACTGCCCACAAACCTCCGTATACGGAATATCTGGCTTGGGTTAGATGGTCCTCGAGGTCCCTAGATCTCCTCCACCCTCTCTGGGCACAGTGGTGTGCTCGCTTCCACTGACAAGTTCACAGCCATGTGCGAGCCATGTAAATAGACACAGAGCTTTTCTACCTGCATAGGCTTGGGCATTTAAAGAAAAACCACAAAGAGATGCGTTTTCAAATGTCTTTGAAATGATCTACTTTTTCAAAAACGCAGAGTAGTCTAGAAAATATAGTGTATTACACTTGGCTTTCTGTGTTAGGCTACGTTTCTTACATCTAGTCATCGTTTCCCTATTTGGAAATGTAACTTTAATTATGAATAGTTAAACCGCTTTTTAATAATCTTTGTACTAGCCTCTTACTAAGGAGGTAGATGAACTTTGTTCACAAATTTGGTGCTGTTGCACTGAAAATAGAATTAATATTTACTATTACAAAATGCTTAAGGTAGCCAGTATCAGAAAGTATTTCTTACGTAGATCTAATTTATTTAATTTGATATTTCTGTCAGCACCTACTTTTGATTGTGTAATATTCGCTGTGGGTTAAATGGAATACAGATCTTGTTTAAATAATTTATAATATGTTTTCCCATATGACCTGGGAACACTTAATATTGCTAGTTTACTTGAATGTAAATTCGTAAAACTTACCGAGGAGAAAAGTTGCAACTCTCCTTACAGAACGTTAAGGAACAAAAACAGAAAGTGGACTGGTTACACTGGTTTAAAATAAATCTCAAAAAGAATGCAGGAACTGCATACCATACTTATTTTTTAAAATACTCGATGGAGTGATCTAAAAGTTGCCTCAATAAGTCAAAATAAGTGATGTTGTTGCTGAGTATATGTTGAGTTAATGAAATATGTTTCGATAGTATTTTTATTTTTTTAAGATATTTTCCTTAAGTAGGTGAGAGCTTATTTTCTTCAAATGAATGTGTCAGGCTATAGATGTCCTTATAGTAACAACAGTCCGTAGTAAAACATCATCTAATAAAGCAGCATACCAAAAGTGGACTGAAGTTTGAGCTACTACAGATGGTGGGTCATTTCCGAACTTGGCCTGGTGGGAGGGAAAATGGCCTGCAGATAGCCAGGTGGCAGACGTTATATAAACGGAGGATTTAATAAATTGCAATGAACTTTATTGTCATCCAAAAATGTACAATATCAGAATGACTCTTTTGACTCAGAAATCGAGCTACTATGAGCTTTTGGTCTTGATAGTTTTTTTGATGTAGTTTTTGAGATAAGTAAAATTTTTAGTCTAATTCTAAATCATGGTGTCTAATATATACTTGGAAGTGTTACATTTTAAAAAAGGGAAGTGTTACGTTTACTATTTTCATGCATTTAAGAACTAAAGTCCAAGTAATGTTGGATTGGAGAAAATATATTTTCCTCTTGTGTGTCCTAAAATAAAATCTCATTAACACATGACAATTTGATTGACAGCTGTCTAGTAGGTGACATTTTAAGGTGGGCTGTATATGTGTGCTGGATTGACGATAAGTGTGTTGTCACTGTGTTGTGAAAGTCAAGGCTGCAAGTAAAGTTTTCAAAAGTGGGTCATGTAACTTTTGAGCACAGAGACGGAGATTTTCAGCCACTCACTTCTGGTCACATTTGCACTTACCTGAAGGCTAGTCTTTGAGGTGTGCATGCACACACATTTACTCCAAGGGCAGGCAGCCAACTTTCATAGTTTTGATGAACTGACAATAAAAAAGGATCCTTTGGATTTGTGAAGATAGATTGACAAAAGAAAATATGCACAAATGCCTTCTGTATTACACCGTTAGTCATGGTCATCCCAAAGTTTTAGGCAACTCTTGGAGACCATACTTTCAGTAGAAAACACTGATTTTTGTTGTTCAGACAATCTCTATTGTATAACATCTCTATTTTACCCTGCGCGTCTAATAGGTATCCTCTGCTACCTGCGGGTGCATCTCCTCTTAACATCTGTTAGCGTTTTCTTTGAAAAAGTCACATCAGGATGCTTTTGTGTTCTCCTTTTTCAAAATTTCTATCTTTTTCTTTGTCAAGTGTAGGTTAATTATGCCATTTTGCAGTGCAATTGATTAAAGAAGGCAGGTTTTAAAAGATAACTCAGTAGTCAATCAGAGAGCTGCATATCTCACATCATGACTTTTTATTTCTCTTCCAAGTACATGAAAAACCACTTAAGTCTGTTTTATAATTCAGGTAAAGAAGTATAAAGAAAAATGTGAAAGAAAAATCAGAAAAGAGAAACATAACGTTTGCAACAGAATGAGCAACCAAATTACCTCCCCCCCCCCCTTTTTTTTCTCTTTCTCTTTCCCCACTTCTAAATGACTGGGAGAAAAACATGAGAAAGAACAGAGAGAATGCCAAAGATGGTTGCCACTGGCACCAGGATTGGCATCAGACCCTCTTTGTTTAGCTCAGGGTGCCTGTGATTTGTTAGTTGGCATCCGCATTGCAGTGTGGAGTGATGTTACAATATATTGACAATTTCCAGATCTAGAAATGTCAATAGTCCTCTTGGTTATTTATACGAGACCACATTCTGCATCTCTTCTGGAGGAGGAAATAAAGACCAACATATAATAAAGTTCCATTGTTGACCAACTTCCTATGCTTTTCTGTTTCCCTCTTTCTTTTTTGGTTCAACTCACACTGTTCTTCTTCTTCATGCCTAGCAACCTCCTTCTCCTTCTTTCTTAAATATGGAAAGAGTTACTATAGCTTTGACACAAGCTATAGTGCTCTTTCTGCATCTGATATGAGTTGGGGGGAAATATATGCATTTGGAAATATAGTTTTGATATATAGTTCATTTTTGCATCACATGGCTGGAAGGCAGTATTGCCTTTAAAGCCAAATCCCTTTGTTATTCAGCTTCTTCTATGGCATATAGTCCGGTTGACCGCAATTTAGTCCATTTTAGCATTTTTTTTAAGTTCCATTGTTGACCAACTTCCTATGCTTTTCTGTTTCCCTCTTTCTTTTTTGGTTCAACTCACACTGTTCTTCTTCTTCATGCCTAGCAACCTCCTTCTTTCTTAAATATGGAAAGAGTTACTATAGCTTTGACACAAGCTATAGTGCTCTTTCTGCATCTGATATGAGTTGGGGGGAAATATATGCATTTGGAAATATAGTTTTGATATATAGTTCATTTTTGCATCACATGGCTGGAAGGCAGTATTGCCTTTAAAGCCAAATCCCTTTGTTATTCAGCTTCTTCTATGGCATATAGTCCGGTTGACCGCAATTTAGTCCATTTTAGCATTTTTTTTTCATTAGCCAAGGGTCGTGTTCAGTGTATCTGTTTATAAAAAATATATGCTCCCCTACTTTACCTAAAATGTATACATCATTTGGGAGTAACTGCGTTTAAATCCATAAAATCATTTGGCATTATTGATTCAGAGGGCTGCGCTTCGGCTGTTTCGTTGCTACAAGAACCGCCATTTTGTTTGTGAAGTGCCAGGCGAGGGGGAAAAAAAAGGCAGACACTGTGTTTGATGCCAATAATGGTTGCCAGTGGCACCGAGGTTGGCATCAGACCCTCTTTGTCTAGTTGCTGAATGCCTTTGATTCGTTGGTTGGCATCCGCATTGCAGTGGGCACACTGGAAAGTTTTTGACAATCCCTGAATGAAAGCTGCTTGCTTGTTTGCTGCAGTAAACCTTAGCTAATATAAAACCCTTCCTTTTTTGTCTTTTTTGAAAAGATTGTGACAGATTAAAGAAAAAACAGTTTTAAAGTGGTCTTCATTTTTCCAAAGATATGAAAGATGTCCAATGATTCTTGGGCAGGTGGTACCTATTCCCCATATTGTCTTTGTTATTGCATTCATGCAAGCAAAGCAAAACAAAACAAAACAAAAGCCAGGCAAGCCTTGTGCAACACACCTTCTTGAAACCTAAGTGTCCTATAGGATACAGGGAGTACTATGACAAGTGTGTGGAGGGCAAGCCTAATGTAGGGATGTGTAATACATTCACTCCGACTGTGGCTTTCAGTCACATAACTGCTTATTTCTCATGCAATTTCTAGTTCTCTCGGTTTCCACACTTGCAAATTTTATAGTAACATGTTGATAGGACCTTACTTTTCTCTCTGGTTGGTAATGGGTGTCAGTGTGAATGTTGAAAATGAAGAAGAAGGAGAAGAAAAACAAGAGAGAGGGAGAGAAAGAAAACCTTAATGAGGAAACCGATGTGTTAAGGTCTGATATAAATCTGTCATTCCTGAATTTCTCAATTCTGCATTAAAATGTTGCCAAATGCATAGTGCACGATTCCGCACACCAGAACAGCCAACCAAAAGGCTAAAATAATTTTGCTTGAAGTTTCCTAGATAGTTAGCATTAATATTGCTTTCTGGTTAACCACCATTATCTCGTTAATTAATAAGAAGGATTAGCAGTTCTACCCAAAGGGCTGTACAGAAGGAAGTCTGGCCTATGGGAGGCCTTGAGTTGCCAGACTGTGTCCTGTCTGAAGGGAAAAAAGGGTGGGGTGGTGAGGATGGTGGGGGAACTGGGCTTTCTCTGAGCCAGGGAAAGGTTTTAAAGACGGAGATGTCACAACACACCAAGAAGTTTAAAGGTTTCAAGAGATAGTAACTGTTGTCATGAACTGAACAGATCAGAGTTTAAACTAAGTCAACCTAACTGATTTTTGGACTGTACTTTGTACTCTTATTAAACATGTTTTGGAGTCCAAAAGAGAGTCCAGACACTTCATTGCTATCATCTAAAAGTAGTTTCCTTTAGTTTAGAGTCCAAAAAATCATAATCCATTGCCAGATGGAAGCTTTTTTTGTTTTATTGTTGAAAGTTATAATATTTAAAGTACATTTTGAAGTGAAAAGTGTGACTTGTTTATGGGGGACACTTACTGTTTTTTGATAGAATCCTTCCTAGTGTTA